CTGAGCGCCATCCGCCGCTGCCGGAGCCTTCCCGCCAACTTCGGGTTGAGGGACGAGATGGTGCAGGGCTGCTTCGACGACAAGACCACGCTGAGCGAAGAAATCGAGGTGAGTCCACTGGCAAATTAAATCAGCATGTCTTCAAATACCAGACTTACCAAAGTGTTCGTAGAGTGAAATTCGTTGTGAAAATAGCTGGTGCCAAGTGCAGAATGGGCGTACTCACTTCATAGCACCGCACTTTTGCTTTCCGAGGCACGACTCACTTCAACACACTTCCAGCAGACCTAAGACATGTACCTACACTATCTCAGTTTAAAGCAGGCTTGAAACGTATGTCATATGAAACCTGACCTCTGTGCAACGTTTTTGGGTCATACTTATAAGCTATGTTTGGCAACTTCAAACGAAACAGTTTGTCTCAGGCCGTTGGCTCCTGATATTGCCCGTCGGCAAGGCAGATGGGGGGCAAGGCATTTCTGTCTCTGCAGCACCTATTTCAGGGCTTCCTCTTTTAGTTTCCACCAGTAATATAATGTTTGAAAACTCTCTCACTTCTTCCAGGCGGGGCACATCTACATCGTGGACTGCGGGATTCTGGACGGTCTGGAGCCGAACAGCACCAAAGGAAACTTCTACTTCGCCGCGCCGCTAGCGCTGTTCCATGTTAACAGACTAGGGGACTTCCTTCCAATAGCTATCCAGGTACGTTTTGTTCTGTTTTTCTGAATAAGGTCGAACACCTAGCCTCTACCAGGCTTCGGGAAGCGGCTGGAAAGAGTAGAAACCGGCCAAATAGAGAGATAGCATGCCGAGGGAGTTGGTCCGCTGGATCATGGAGAGAACAGTTTGCCGCTCTCTCCAGCAGACCAACTCCCCTGACATGCTATCTATCTATTTCACATCATTTATGATGATGACATTTGCATAAATTTCATCTATCTATTAATTTCTTCAAGCTGAACCAGCGTCCCGGTAACGACAACCCGGTCTTCACGAACGAAGATTCGGACATCGACTCACTCACTCACTCACTCACTCACACTCACTCACACACTCACTCACTCACTCACTCACTCTCACTCACTCACTCACTCACTCACTCACTCACTCACTCACTCACTCGTCCATCGATCTATCCAGTCATTCATTCATTCTTTCCTCTCCAGCTGAACCAGCGACCCGGTAACGACAACCCTGTCTTCACGAGTGAGGACTCAGACATCGACTGGCTCACTCACTCACTCACTCACTCACTCACTCACTCACTCAATCACTCTCACTCATCCACTCACTCACTCAATCACTCTCACTCATCCACTCACTCACTCACTCACTCACTCACTCACTCACTCACTCAATCAATCATCCACTCACTCACTCACTCACTCAATCACTCTCACTTATCCACTCACTCACTCACTCACTCACTCACTCACTCAATCACTCTCACTCATCCACTCACTCACTCACTCACTCAATCACTCTCACTCATCCACTCACTCACTCACTCACTCACTCACTCATCCATCCATCCATCCATCGATCTAACCAGTCATTGATTCGATCATTTACTCTCTCATTTCCAGCTGAACCAGCGCCCCGGTAACGACAACCCTGTGTTTACGAGCGAGGACTCAGACATCGACTGGCTCACTCACTCACTCACTCACTCACTCACTCACTCACTCACTCACTCACTCACTCACTCTCTCACTCACTCACTCACTCACTCACTCACTCACTCAATCACTCACTCACTCAATCACTCTCACTCATCCACTCACTCCCTCAATCACTCTCACTCATCCACTCACTTACTCAATCACTCACTCACTCAATCACTCTCACTCATCCACTCACTCACTCACTCACTCACTCTCACTCATCCACTCACTTACTCAATCACTCACTCACTCAATCACTCTCACTCACCCTCTCACTCACTCACTTACTCACTCACTCACTCACACACTCACACACTCACACACTCACTCACTCACTCACTCACACACTCACACACTCACTCACTCACTCACTCACTCACTCACTCACACACCCATCCACCCATCTATCCAGTCATTCATTCACTCTTTCATTCTTTCCTACCCAGCTGAACCAGCGTCCCGGAAACGACAATCCTGTCTTCACGAGCGAGGACTCGGACATCGACTGGCTCACTCACTCACTCACTCACTCACTCACTCACTCACTCACTCACTCACTCACTCACTCACTCACTCATCCATCTATCCAGTCATTCATTCATTCCTTCATTCCCTCCTCTCCAGTTGAACCAGCGTCCTGGTAACGACAACCCTGTCTTCACGAGTGAGGACTCAGACATCGACTGGCTGATGGCTAAGATCTTCCTGCGCAACGCGGACGCGCAGCTGCAGCTGGTGGTCAGCCACCTGCTGGACACGCACCTGGTCATGGAGCCGTTCGCAGTCGCCACCTACCGCCAGCTGCCGGGAGTGCACCCGCTCTACAAGGTAGGAGATTTTGCTTTTTAATTTGTAAGGCCATGTTGATTTGATTATATGGATGACATCCGCGCGCACATAAATTTCCAACATCCGTTTCCAACCATTCTGTAAATCGTACAAAATGAGCAAAAATATGTCGTATGTTGCAAAAATGGATTGGAAAAGGATTCACGTCATAGAATGCCGCAATCAATTCAGGAAAAGAAGAAAATGTGAAGACATGAAAATTAGGAGTGTTCGCCATATCATACTGTGTGTTTCAGTCATTTGTTCAAGCTTTATGACCACGTAGATTTCATAATGAAAGAAACTTGTTTTTTTGTGTTGTTGACTGTGAATTGCACTGTGAAGTATAATAAATTTCCGTTTAAGAAATGAACATACAATAAAGATTGTCTGTTCTCTGTTGCCAGCTGCTGGTGCCACACTTCCGGGGCATGCTGGGTATTAACGTGTTTGTGCGGGAGGCGCTTCTGAAGGAGGGCGGCGTGCTGGATGACGTCATGTCGCTCGGACCGCAGGGGAGACACGAACTGCTCAGAAAGTAAGTATATTGTATACATGTTCTTGCTAACCTTCCTAAGGGTCATGAACATCGTTGAAACCCTCACGAAAAGATGACTTCCTAACTGCATCTTCTCTCTCCCTCTCTTCTACTGTGTTCTGCATCTGCAGTCATGTAAACGTCGTACAGCTTCAGTCAGTTTTTCTTCATCTTCTTCCACTGTGTCTCATAAGTTCCCTTAGCTCCTATCTTAGAGATATCTCTAAAGGCATCCGATGCAATTTCAGGGCGACAAACTGGACTTTTAAAGTCAACTTTTCGGACATGCTTAATGTAGTAAGTTGAATCAACCCTATCACAACATACCGTACGGATATCTATGAGGCCAAAATGCGATGTCGCTGACGGAAAACGGTTGCTTGTTTTATGTCCGATAGGCTGGTTCTAGGTATTTATGAGTGGTACCCCAAAAAGAGACGCCTCACCTAAACGGGACATGCTGGCATATATATGTAATGGTATCTGGTAATGGTATATATGTCAGCATGTTAGATTTGGGTCTTCCATGACTAAATAAAGGTTCATAAAGAAACAACAACAACAAATATACATACCGTGTCCCTTCCGTCCCAGATGTTACAAGGCGTTTAACCTGCGAGCGCTGGACCTTCCCGTGTCCATGAAGGACCGGGGACTGGACGATTCGGTTTTTGCACGTCATTTTGACAAACAAACAAACGAACGAACGAATGAACGAACGAACGAACGAACGAACGAACGAACGAACGAACGAACGAACGAACGAACGAACAAACAAACAAACAAACAAACAAACAAACAAATATACATACCATGTCCCTTTCGCCCCAGATGTTACAAGGCGTTTAACCTGAGGGCGCTGGACCTTCCCGCGTCCCTGAAGGACCGGGGACTGGACGACTTCAGACTGTTGCCTGGTTACCGTTACCGGGACGACGGCATGATGATCTGGGGGTGTATCGAGAAGTTCGTCACAGGTGAGAAAATTGCTTTTTGGTCACAGAAACTTTTGGGCACTTTTTACCAAAAGCTGAAGTCGCATGTACGTACATGGCCATGTGTAGCTTTGTGGCGTAACGGCAGAGCATTCGGCTCAGAACCAAGAAGTCCCGGGTTCGAGTCCTGCCAAGTCACCAATCTTGTGCCCTTGGCAAAGGCACTTAACACAGCTATTTTCACTTCGCTCAGGTGAAAGTAAGGTATACATGTACCAGAATGATGATTATCATGATCGTGGGCATTAAAGGAAAACCAAAACAACCTTGTGTTCTGAAAGACTAGTCATTCGAACATTGATTATAGCATTACGACCAGTCAAATATTCCAAATGCATGTTAGCCCTATTGATAGTTTTGACAACTGTACTAACATGTAACCCGCAGCAGTCTCTTCACTGGCAAACATGCCCTCACTGTGCCGGTCTCTAGAACTCACGCCACCGTCAGAACCTTTATATATACTGCAGTTGGCATCTGGAACAGTCTTCCAGATAACGTGGTGGGCCGGATCACTGACAACAACCTCCAGTCATTCAAAACAAGAGTACACCGGCATCTTCTCTCCACCACCAGGACTTCTGCATGTAGCTAGAACTTTGCATCCTTGCTGTAAACCAATGATTAGCCAGGAGTGTCACAATCCAGGCTATTGTTTACACTTGCACATGATAGAAAAAAAATGTTTTCACAGACATGCTGAGCCTTCACTACGACCGGGACGCCACCCTGCAGGACGACCTGGAACTGCAGCGGTGGATCAGTGACGTGTACGAGCACGGCTTCAACTGGGAGGACAACCAGGACCGCGGCATCCCGCACAGGATCAAGTCTCTACAGCAGCTGGTGAGTGTTGCCATGGCGACAGGGTTACCATGGTGATCGCGTCCTAATGGCTATCCAACAAAATTTCGATCCTTTGTAGTTGAACCGAAGCAGCCCTTAAGGCCTTCTTGATGGTAGTCATTTTCGACCTTGTGCCAAAATCATTATCAGTATAGGATCTTTTGTCTTTGACCGTCTTAGATCAGAAAAAGAAGTCAAACTCAACAACTAACAATTTAGAGTCAGCTATTAGACTAGTCTGTTAGGCCACACCAAGTAAATTTTATGGATGACGTCCGCGCGCGCATTGATTTTGGCCTGTTCCTAGAAAAAAAACAAGAAATTCTGCTTCCTGTAACTATGACCAAAGAGTCACAACAGTACCGCAAATCGTTAGATTGACGTGAAACCCGTAACGCGAAAACAGGACAGGACGACAACTGCTGTTCCACCTGATTTATTGCTGTTTTGATGTTGAGTAAAAGATTTCTTGCTTGTTAATCTGTGTCATCTCATTCAAGTTGTGTCCTAACATTTGTCGTCTCTTAGTATATTTCTAATCTAGGCATCTTGTTTTTTAGGGCCCTTCTTGTTTTTTTTTCGCCCTCTCGCATTAGATTTAGGGTCTCCAAAGGACGTCATCCATAAAATTTACTTGGTGTGGCCTTATATACCTGTTTGTTCGTCCTTACTTAACATTTACCATAGAGGAAGAATTCGCAAAAAAAAATAAACGTTTGATTATCACCATCACCATCTTCATCTTCACCATGGCCATCGTTATTATCTTCACCATCTTTATTACTAGTACATGTATATTCACCATCATCATTCTCTCCATCTTCCCTCAAGGTTGACATCGTGACGATCATCATCTGGACGTGCTCCGTGCAGCACGCGGCTGTGAACGGCGGCGCCCGGGACACGTACGGCTTCGTGCCGAACGCCCCGCTCTGCCTGCGCCGCCCGCCGCCGCCGTGGAAGGGCATCGTCGGTATGACGGACATCGTCAGGACACTACCGGACATGGACACGGCCCTGCTGCAGACTGGAATAGCGGATATGATGTGTGAGGAGCCCAGGGATGAGGTAAGATAATTTACATTATGTAGCAAGTGGCAGGACAGTTGAAGGGGCTGGTCACCACACTAGTATGTATGTGTATGTCGCACTCTGCCCGACATGGACACAGCCCTGCTACAAATTGGCAAAGCGGACATGATATGTAGCCCAGGGATGAGGTACTGTGTGTGTGTGTGTGTGTGTGTGCCTGTCTGTCTGTACGTGTGTGTGTGTGTGTGCCTGCCTGTCTGTGTGTGTATTTGTGTGTGTTTGTGCGTGTGTACAGACCAATGATGTGAGGACCAGCACCCCCAACGCCGTCCTACCATTACTACATAACGTAATCCACACCAGGGGATCAGTAAGAATAAACAGAGCTGTTAGTTATTTTGGATACACCATCCCCATATGAAGTTAAACATCATACATTTGCAAATGTTACATTCTAGCTTTTAATACTAAGTACTCTTCCCCCTTTCTGTCTACAGGTGTACCTGAGTCACTACCCTGAGCGGCACTTTGTGGAGGAGAACGCGCGGGCTGTCATCGACGAGTTCCAGTACAACATCACGGCCATTAACGACGCTATTGCCAAACGGAATACTCTGGGAGACGTGCCCAACACCTACCTTCTGCCGCAGAACATTCCCAACAGCATATCGCGGTAGAACGCTGTTGTATATCCGGAATCTTGTTCTATGCTATCCTCTACCAAGCTTTGGGAGGCGTCTGGAAAGAGTAGAAATCGGCCAAATAGAGAGATAGCATGCCAGTGGAGTTGGTCTGCTGGAAAGAACAGTTTGACGCCTTCCGAAGCCTGGTAGAGGCTAGTGTCTATGCCTGAACTATGGTTAGGATCAGGCATGGTTCTGGATAGTCTCTGTGTATCCAAGTACGCAGATTTGCCCAATTTTAATACGGTTCTGGATACGCGCAGACTACTAGCATCCAGAGCTGTGCCTTAGCATGGTTCTGGATAAAACACAGCGCCGCGCGATATAACAAACGTATCCAAGAACGTAGATTTGGCCACGGTTCTGGATGCAACAAACACTGCCAGGGAGAATCACTGCAGTTTTAAAGTCGAACGACAGAGGGCAACTCTCCCGCATTTCTGCCACTGTTATTTTGAAAACGTCGACTGGACTTAGAATATCACACGAGCTACAAGATACACGATCTTGTGGACTTTCAGATCGTTTACTTTCAATGTGCCTTCATCATGAGTTCGGGAAAATTAGGAGAATCTGGACAAGCCTACATCAACTTGCAAAAACACGGACGGACTTTTTAGCACAATTAATATAGTCCAGCCTTCAACAAACCTGCCTAGAGAAAGAGCCAACAATAGTTTAATCGCGTTGGTAGATATTGAAGATTCTTGTACAGAACTAAGTTCTTATTTGCCAACGTTTTAGCATTATCTCTTCTAGTTGAACTGTTCCACCCCTTTGTAAAAAATAGTTTGGGATGAATTTAAGACGCACTGGCATAGTAACGCACAATCGGCAACCGGAGTAAGTAAGTGTTGTACTGCAACTATACGTAAATTTAATTGCTGCTAGGTAAAGCAATTGCAGAACTTCTCTAGTCTCCAACAGGCTAACGACAAGGGTTCAAAAAACAGTAAAATTTAGCCATATAGAGAAAATAATTGTTCGGGGGAGGTTGGCCACCGTATACCGCAGAGTTCATTTGCCCTCGCAGTTAATAGGAGGAATTAACCCTCCTTCCTGGCCAAATATTTTTTCCAAACTCTACGTACCCCCGTCAGAAAGCCTGATGGAGGCTATAACTTCTTGAAAAATATCTTGTGCATTTTGTTGGTTGCCACTTTTTGTCGGGATGCAGAAAATAGAGCACAAAACTTCTCTGGCAAAGGACATTTCAAATCATTTCTTCATTGTACATGATACTGGAATAAAAAGAAAGTATATTTACATCACTACTGTGTACTGTTGTGGTTTCAATTGGGTAATCAGGTATGTCAACTTTGACCTTTCACCTGACCTCTGACTATGCTTGTCAGCCATTTTGTCCAGCGACAGGAAGATCGTTTCTGTCAAACAAAGACGATTTTGACGAAGATCTCACGTGTTACCGAGCCTACAGCAATAGTAACACACAGGTGAGACATTTATTAGTTATCTATATTCATTTTTCGGTGCTAATACGGCAATAATATCGGACCAGGAGAGTTTTGGGGGAAGTGCACATTCACGTAACAATTATGGAAGAAGGAGGGGGGGGGGTCGATCTCGAGGTGACTGTTGCAAGGATTCTCTCACTTCTTCTATTTCTTGCTGTCTTTTATGTTGTACGGGCTATGAATATATCACTGTGGAATATATATATATAAATGAGGCAACAACTATACTAATAGAGAATCCTTACAACAGAGTGAAATGGGGGAATTTATGTGTAGAACTCTACTGCGTTGTAGTCTAGGCTTTATTATGTCAGAAAAAGAAAGTATAACAACAGTTTAGGCTAGTCTTCTTTACAAAAAAATACATCAATCGCCATCGTGCATAATTTTCGTAGAAGGCTTGATGCTTTTTATTAATCTACTCGCTCACTCCCTCTCTAATACGTCCATGGATTTTTTATATTATTATGTTTACCGAAGGAAAACATATTGTTTTTGTTTAGTTTCTTCTTCTTCTCCAAACGGTGACCTCTGACCTGGTCAATGACCTGAACTAGACCGTCTCTCACCATGGTAAATGGTGTTGGGCTACATCATGTTGCAATTTTATAGTAGGAGGGATTTAGACTCCTGTCACCATAGTTGGTGAATAAGAATTAACAGAGCAGACCATATGCGAAGGTAAACATTATGCGTTTGCTTTGCAAATGTTATTTTTCTAGTATGATATTTTATATTATATGATACTAGGCTACTTGTTACTAATGTTAGTATGTATCTTAGAATCCAAATATTTATACATGTGGGGATACAAATTTTTAAAATTTGGGACATTATTCCGTTATTCTTAGAAATGGATGAGCTGCCATCTCCCTTACACCCCGGGAATGAGATTGCTATGGATGACCAACCAACTGTACACCCTGGGAATGAGGTTGATATCATAGACCAGACTGCTATAACCGACCAGTTGCCTATAATTGACCAGCCAACTCTACACCCTGGGAACGTGTACCCCGGGAATGAGATTGCTATGGTCGAACAACCAACTGTACACCCTGGGAACGAGATTGCTGTAATGAACCAGCCCACTGTACATCCTGGGAACGAGACTGCTATGGTCCAGCAGCTGACTGTGTACCCTGGGAAAGAGATTGCTTTTACCAGCCTCTCAACTATGCACCCTGGTAATGAGACTGCTATAACCGACCAGCCAACTCTACACCCTGGGAACGAGATTGCTATCATTGACCAGACTGCTGTAACCGACCAGCCAACTCTATACTCTGGGAACGAGACTGCTATATCCGTCCAGCCAACTGTACACCCTGGGAAAGAGATTGCTATACTCGACCAGTTGGCTATAACCGACCAGCCAACTCTACACGCTGGAAATGAGATTGCTATAATGGACCGGCCAATTGTACACCCTGGGAACGAGATTGCAATAATGGACCAGCCAAGTGTACATCCTGGGAATGAGATTAGTATGAATGACCAGCCAACGGTACACCCTGGGAATGAGGTTGATATCATCGACCAGACTGCTATAACTGACCAGTCAACTCTACACCCTGGGAACGAGACTGCTATAATGGACCAGCCAACTGTTCACCCTGGGAACGAGATCGCTATAATGGACCAGCCAACTGTACACCCTGGGAATGACATTGCAATGAGAGTAAGCGTTCCACGTGAAAAACGCTTTGCGTGTACGGAATGTGACTACAAGGCAACTTCAAACTCCGACATACTAAAACACGAAAGAACACACACAGGTGAGAAACCCTACAGGTGTGACCAGTGTGACTTTTCTGCTGCTACAAAAGGCAACTTAGATCGACACATGGTTAAACACACCGGAGACAAACGCTACATATGTGGCGAGTGTGGGTTCAGGACGGTTGACAAGTCTCACCTAGCCTATCACATGACTACCCACACAGGTGAGAAACCCTACAAATGTGACCAGTGCGACTATTCCGCAGCACGGAAATTCACTTTAAACCGACACATGAAAAAACACACTGGTGACAAACGCTACATGTGTGGGCAATGCGGGTTCAGAACTGCTTACAGATCCTACCTCACCAAACATATGAAAAACCATGCCGGCGAAAAACCATTCAAATGTGACCAGTGCGACTATTCTGCAGCACAGAAGGATGCTTTAGATGGACACATGGCTAAACACACCGGACACAAACCCTACATGTGTTGGGAGTGCGGATTCAGAACTGCATATAGTTCTGCTCTTTCCCGACATATGAGAAACCATTCAGGCGAAAAACCGTTCAAATGTGACCAGTGCGAATACTCTTCTGTGGAAAAAGATGCTCTGAACAAACACATGGCTAAGCACAACGGAGAAAAGCACTACATGTGTTGGGAGTGTGGGTACAGGACTGCTTACAGCTCTCACTTGTCCCAACACCTGAAAACACACACAGGTGAGAAACCCTACAAATGTGACCAGTGTGACTACTCTGCCGTAGAAAAGTGGACTCTAGACCGACATGCGGCAACACACGCCAAAGACAAAAGATACATGTGTGAAGAGTGTGGATACAGGACGGCTAAGTCATCCCACCTTACAGTACACATGAGAACTCATTCAGGGCTGAAACCCTACAAATGTGACCAGTGCGACTACTCAGCTGCAAAGAAAGGCCAGTTAAACAGGCACATGGTTAAGCACAATGGAGACAAACCCTACATGTGTGGCAGGTGTGGGTACAGGACAGCTGACAGGTATTATCTAACCACGCACATCAGAAAACACACAGGTGAGAAACCATTCAGTTGTGACCAGTGCGACTATTCTGCTGCATATAAAGGTGCTTTAGACAGGCACATGGCGAGACACAAACTATTTATCGATGGAGAGTCCACAGAAATTCTAAAACCATACAAATGTGAACACTGCGACTATTCTGCTACTGAAAAGTGGACTTTAGACCAGCACATGGTTAAACACACAGGAGAGAAACCCTACTTATGTGACGAGTGTGGATACAGGGCAGCTTACAGGTCAAACCTGTACCAACACTTGAGAACACACACAGGTGAGAAACCTTACAAGTGTGACCAGTGCGACTATTCTGCAGCACAGAAGGACAAGCTGGACCGACACATGGCTAAACACACTGGAGACAAACCCTACATGTGTGTGAAGTGTGGATACAGCACTTCTTACAAGTATAACTTAACCGCACACATGAAAACTCATACAGGTGAAAAACCTTACAAGTGTGACCTGTGTGACTATTCTACTGCCCAGAAAGGCAATTTGGACCGACACATGGCTAAACACACTGGAGACAAACCCTACATGTGTGTGGAATGTGGGTACAGCACTTCCTACAAGTATAACTTAACCGCACACATGAAAAATCATACAGGAGAAAAACCCTACAAGTGTGACCAGTGTGACTATTCTGTCACAAAGAAAGCCAATTTAGACCGGCACATGGCTAAACACAGGACTGACCTACATTTAACTCAGAACAACTGATACAAACCAGTGAAATTGCCAAATGTGTACTAGTAGTGTCTTCACCTTGCGTTTGGTAGGGCATGGTTCCTATCCCTGGCCAAGTCATACCAAAGACTTAAAAATGTTACTTAGAAATTTGAGAAACGTGTGTTTCGTCTTTGAAAAAAAAAACACATCAACTTACAAATGTATCCAAGCTTGAATCTAACACTGCTACCTATTTATGTGTAACTAACTGTATTCCATATCATATCATAGGTTTAACTTATTATGTATTTGTTTAACAGTGCTCCATATCATACTAGATGGACATGAATGAACTCTATTTGAAAAGACATCAAGCAATATTTAGAAAGTTGGAACATTTTTGCTTGGTTGCAGAATTAAAATCTTTCAAAGACATCTCTAGTTTTTGCTCTTTTTCCCTTGCTTAGTTGTGAAGTTGTTCAAAGTGTTTCGGTTGAACTGATCTTCATATCCAGCCTTGATCTTCTGTTTTATAGTTATAAAGAAGTCATAACTACAGTAAAGCGCGCGTAGCTTTGCGGTTAGGAAAAGCAAAATGAATATCAGTGAACATTAATATGCACATCCCATTATCTATTACTAGTATTTACATTACCTCCATCCAAGGAGGTTGAATATTTTTTAACTCCTTGCTGCATCATTCATTAAAATTGGTTTGTTTCACGCAGCCTATTGATTCGTGACATTATACATGTACAACCCCCACAAGATGACCATGTCTACGCAATAAGCTACAAGGAGCGGCTCAAAGTGGAAGAGAACTTCCTACCGAGACGAAAAGTCTACTCTACTCTATTATGTACCCTTTGTTTATATTTGTTACTTTATGGTGCTTTTATTCATGTATGTATGCAGTTCACTTTGAAGGATATCTCGGTGGACATAGGCAGTCCCTGGATAAATGAAATAAATGAACATCAAACACTTTCTGAAGTGAGCGGTTGCGAATCAGAAGTCCTTGATCTGAAGGTTTTCGGTAAAGGATGAGGGAGAGTTTAGAAAACAGGTCAATGGAGCGAGGCGGCAGTTTTCTTTGTAGATCAGTTGCCGCTAGCTTTCCCTCAAGGCCGGGCAACAGCTAAGGGAAGCATCACGCGCTCCTGAAAAGAGGCTATAGCAGCATAATCTCCAAGCAGATCTTTTGGTGGGGGTAAGGCCATGTTGATTTGATTATATGGATGACATCCGCGCGCGCATGAATTTTCGGCCGTTTCAAAAAAAAAAAGTTTTCAACCATACTGTAAATCGTGCAAAACAGTTGCTAAATGAGCAAAAATATACCATACGTTGCAAGGAAAACATTTAGAAACGATACCAATGTCGTAGAATGCCAAAATCAAAGGAAAAAAGACAAAAATGTAAAGAAATGAATTCGAAGAGTAGATTATTCGCCATAACATATCCTGTGCCATTTGTTCAACCTTCATGACCACGTAGATTTCATAGTGAAAGCAACTTTTTTTTTTTTGCAAAACTTTTTTTTTATTCGCACGCGCGCATCAGTTTTGGGGTTCCCAGAGGATGTCATCCATATAATCAAATCAACATGGCCTAAGACAGTATCACATTGGCCAGTCTGTATCCATTTCCCCACCGCTGGCACGAGGCCACGATTCTTATCTCACAATCATTATGGTAGAAACAACTTCTTGCTCCTAGCCACGGCAATATCAATCTTTATTGCACAACAATTGTAACGGGTACAATGCATGGCAAACTCTTCAGTACTACATATCTTGGGTGGGGAAATGGATACAGACTGGCCAATTTGATACTGTCTTACCCCCACCAAAAGATCTGCTTGGAGATTAATAGCAGCAGCTTTTGATGGAAAATTCGGTTGCTATCCTCGCTTGAAAGTGGTCCGAAACTACACTACAATTTCCGTTTCCAAGTATTTAAAGTTAGACTATTTCACACCCTACATTTGAGATTGAAGCATGTGAACCCGAATACTTTATTTTTGTGGAGCTCCCCCCTCCCCCCAAAAAAGTTTCACGCTTTAATAGCGGGTCCCTGTCTTGGTAAAACAACAGCATCGGAGACGGTATCACGTTTCTACCATAATAATGACTGAAAGACCTTTATTGTACATTTTTGCTCATCTCGAACCAAGTACAGGTCATGGTAAATAGCGATGGTAGACTAAAATATATCTATAGTAAAACTACATTATGTACAAATTAAATTGTGAGATACGAATCGTGGCCTCGTGCCAGCGGTATAAAATGGACGTCATAGAAAGGCACTCGTTTCAGTATGATAAACGGATGCAGTTGAAACCCTTTGCGTCAAAGCTGAAGCGACATCTTGCGGGATGCGTGGGTTCCGCAGGCTTCCTGCTGAGCTGTAATAACGACTCCCAGCGGAAGGCGAAGCATCGCACCTTCTTTTAGATGTCATGTGACGTCACGAGCAGGCGGTCCTCCCTGGCACCGAGGGAATGCCGGGTAAACAGAGCCGAACGGCGAGCGGACAGAACCGAGACCGGGCCGCAATATTCTCTCCAGTCTAAACCTCCTCTACAAGCTGCCTAGGACTCATGTCTTACCTTATACAACCTACACACGACAAGATCAAGACCAAAGAAGACAAAATCAACCGCCACTAACCGTAAGTACAAAAATTCTGCTCCGAGATTTTAAGCCTCCGTAGCAGGCTTATGAAGAACTGGGGGTTTGGTGGTCTTCGGCTGTTTTCTGATTAGCAAAAAACGGGGGTAATTCAACCAGGCCGGCTATGTTGTCTATATGCAATCAGAAAATAGCACATAAAAGCTCCCAAAGACCCTGAAGACCCCCCAAACCCCCTAGTTTTCGGCATGCTATGGAGGCTACGAGATTTTATTCTATAGTAGGAGAAGCCTTAAGCTTGTCTGTACGTGAACGATGTTATATTAAATGCGTGCGGCTTGCGAGCACAGTAAGTAATTTGTCATCTAAGCCAGCGGCTTGCGTTGAAAGTATTATTATGGCTCTGAGGCGTACAGATCGCAATAATGACGGCCTTCGGTATCCGTGAGTGGGAAATTAGTACATGGCTTGTTTCTGGACTACAATATTACTAAGAAGCGAGAAGAAGCCAAATTATCGTAATCATTAGACTAGTCCATATTACATAGAATTAGCACTAGCTTGTACATTGTATATAGTCATTGCAAACTGTGACGTCTTTCCTGTGACCTGTACTGAACCCAGTTGGTATTTGCGTACAATAAAGGTTTTCATTCATTCATTCATTCAATGTTTTAATAATTATACCCTTTGACAGCATATTTTAACGATATTTTGTGTTGACTACAGAGTAATTCAGGCATCCAGTAAGGTTGCCTGCGAGTCTGTTTTCAGGGTGTATTGTGTATACATGTTGGAGTTTCTAAATAAACCATTATACTAGAAATGTAGGAGAAGCAGTTCAATATGTAGACAATGCACACAAAAAATAGTTACTCAAGCAACTGGATATGACTTTGGAAACGGTCAGACGTTTCAGGTAGCATCCACTACCTTTCGTCAGTGACATTGAAGAGTTGTCACAAAAATCTGCAGGTTTATAAGTACGAACTATTGATTGATGTTGAATAACTGTTTTATGGCGTATCATATAACCTGAATGTCTAACCTTCACCGACGTATGTATACAATGATCTGTCCCCTTTGCGACTTCAAATCGCTGTGGCTAATAAATATACAAACATCATATAAATCGCTGCAGCATATATTGAAGTACATATAACCTGCCACAAGAACTGCCTTATCATTAAGGCAACAAACACTAGTATTCGACTTCAAAGCACTGTAGGTAATACTAATTAATAAATATATAAACCACTGTAGCGTATATTGAAGTACATATAACCTGCCGCAAAACTAGCCTACGTAGCAGGCTTATAGAACTGGGGGGTTTTCGGCTGTTTTCTGATTAGCGCAGTTCTAAAAAAACGGGGGTAATTCAACCAGGCCGGCTATGTTGTCTATATGCAATCAGAAAATAGCACATAAAAGCTCCCAACGACCCTGAAGACCCCCAAAACCCCCAGTTTTTGGAATGCTATGGAGGCTACCGCAATACTAGCGTTATTATAAAGGCAACAAACACTAGTATTCGGTTTTACAGCAGACGAATCGTGATTAGATTTTTCACACCGTTTGCTAGAGCTGCCCACGCAGACGAAAACTTAATTAAGAAGTATTATGATAAATGAAGATAACCTGATAATTCAATGACGCCAAAGCACGAGGCATGCACTGCTCTGCAAATGTCCGTCAACTAGTTTTTAGGAGACCGAGCTTTATTCTACTTGATGAAATAGGTAAATAACCGTACGTTGTACGGCCTAAAAAGGGGATATAACTGGCCAGAGGAGTTCGCCGGCCATAGAGGGTCCAGTTTGCCAATTTCTACTATTTATTCAGCCTGCAAAGGTGTCTGGTGCAGACTAGACCAACTCGATACCCGACATGTTATCTCCCTATTTGGCCAATTTCTACTCTTTCCTGCCGCCTCCAGAAGCCTGGTATACCTGGCTATCTGAATGTCTCCGTCCAGCATTTCTGCCATAGAAACGGTTTGAAATGTCTGCCATAGAAATGTTTCCTTCGTTTTGCTTTGCATCAGCAGTATTTCCTGTTCGCATTGTGAGGCAACACCGATTTATTTTCTTGGTTCTGGGACATTCATTTCTTTTTTTTTTTCATTCTTTATCTCAAGCATAGAGGCCTGTATTATTACATACCTAAAACAAAACAAGGAAACAAACACACAAAGCTAAATTTATGCATCGATACATGTAAAGTATCTGGGACATTTATTTTGAATTTATACTTTATTTCAAACAGTGATACAGCCGCCTCCCGAAGCCTGGTAGAGGCTACCTTCATGTTTCCCATACAAACAGTGATTCAGCCGCCTCCCGAAGCCCGGTAGAGGCTAACCTCCAGGCAGGTGTGCATGTATATATACGTACTAGCGGGGCTTTTCTCACATCCGCGTTTCTAATGCGGTATGTCAAATA